AAAAAGAAAAAAAAAGATCGGCCGAAAACCCCCAGAGGCACGCTACCAGACGCAAAACAGCAATCACAGAACGGAACCCTTTCATTTGCAGTCACCCAAATTTAAGCCGTTGTTCGTGATGAATTAATTGATAATTATTTTTCAAGATTGATAATCGATGAGTGGGTGAGCATTAAATTTTTTGATGTATCCCGGGTTAACAGCATCTTGAGACCAGTACCGCATAGATTCAAGATTGTATTTCGTTCGGACACTTTAGTGCAAAGTATTAATATGTGCTCTAGTAGAACCTATTTCAATCTAACTGAGTTTGTGAGTATATTGAGTGGTATTGTTAACCCGAATATTTGCGTTGGTAAGCCTAATTTATGAATTTATTTGTGCTTTTGGAGTTTATTTGCGATTCATGTTCTGATTGTATTATTCATGTGTGTGTTTCATATATGTTATTGGCAAAATTCTCAACGTGAGAGAGTTGGTTTTTGTTCCTTCCGTGGAACATTCTCAAGGAGGATATTTTGAGCTGTGCTTTGGTTTACGTGATACTGAGTAAGTCACTATTCTTTTAAAGATTTAAACCAGAATATAATGTCTTATGACTTCTTCAAATCTTAAAATTAGGTGTATCCATCTAGAGTGTCGTTTAACGGGTGACCTTGCAGTCGAGTTCTATGACTTATGGAAGCAACGTTCACGTAACACAGTGATATGTATTATCAAGTTTGTGAAATTAGAGCTATCACAGGAACATAGGTGGAGATGTACCAATGTTACCGGAAGTACGAGGATTATGTTGAATCCGGATCTCAGTATTACCGACGAGATGCTTTGTTGGTAAGTATTTTTTTTTTCCGTTTACAATCAAAACTCTAAAGTTGGCGACTAGACATTCACTGTTTATGGTGTTCTTAACGGATGTCAGGAATACTGAAAATGACCAAGTACCGATCATCACACGGAAGGAGAATGCCATGGAGTGATGATGTTCGTTGATTTCTTATTTTGTTGGTGAATGATTTTAAAAGATGATTTATTATTATTTTTTAGCATTTATAATATTATTGAATTTTTTAAATTTCATCATTTTCCATAATTTTATCACACTAAATCCTAAACAATTTACCATATTTTTCTTACACTACCAAGTAACACCTAAACAATCCCTTTATTTCACATGATTTTACCATTTATACAGCATTCTTCCCGCGCATGCGCGCGGGCAATCACCTAGTTAATTAAATTAGCCAAGACTTTCAAAAAACCATGAATCGATATCTCAAATGAAAAAGGTCATAATCTATAGAAATTGCATCAAAAAAGGAAAACATATGTATACGTAAAAAACAAAAAAAAAAAACAAAAAAACCAAAGAGGTAGATAAAAGTGTCTTTTTTTTTCATCAGATAAAAGTGTCTCAGATGGATAAAATCTTAGAAATTGGAAAAGAGATGGTCTCACAAGAGGGAAAGGAAAATTTATATATTTCTCTTCTTTTTAATATTGTTTCCTTTTATACATAAGCTTTTTTTTCCTAATTATACATACATATATGTTCTTGCATGCTAATTATCTATCTATAGGGTTTCCACAAAACAGAGGTGATGAAAAGAGGACGTGAAGAGAAGAACAGCCACGAGACCTTACCATCGCCAACACGACTTCGTCACGGTGGAGTTATCAATATACCTCTTGATGTAACCGTGGAGATACTCAAGAAACTTCCGACGAAATCTCTATTGAGGTTCCAATGTGTCTCTAAGCTGTGGTCATCAATAATCAGCAGCCGTAGAGACTTGATAGACTCGATCATCACTCGTTCTTTGAATGAGCCTCCGCGTGACGCCCATATCATCTCCCTCGTCTCTTCAAATTGTTTTCCTAATAGAATTTGTAAAAGTTTCATAGCCTTCTCTTCTACTACTTGCCCTGGAAATACTGACAAAGAATTAGTATTAGTCCCTGGACAATATCATCAATCCGTTCGCGGCTTGGTTTGTTGTTGGTCTCATTTTCCGAATGTGGTAGTTATATATAACCCTACCACGAGGCAGTCCTTTGACTTACCAGAGTTGAAATATAAGCACATGTACAGTTGTGATTTCTTCTTCGGATACGACCCTATCAAGAATCAATACAAAGTAATCTTCCTACCAACAGGCACCTGGGATGGGAGTTGTCAAGTTTTCACATTGGGAGATCCCACAGCAAAGCAGTGGAGGAACATCCAACACGATATTAGACCTCACCAGACGTTGTTAGGTGTGGTTTGCATCAACGGGACTATCTATTACCGAGAAGGGACTCGCAATCCTCCTTTTCTTGTAGATATTAAATTGATGAGTTTTGATGTTAGGTTGGAGAAATTTGATCATGTCAAGGCTCCAAAAGTATTGATGCATTTGCATCGCGATTCGACTTTGATCAACTACCAAGAGAAGTTAGGACTCATCTCTTGCGAGAGGGTAGTTGAAATATGGGTTATGGAAACACAAGGATGGTCCAAATTTTTCTTATGTGAGAAGGAGGATTTTCATAGTTGGAGCATCGCGGGTACTACTCGTGGTGGTGAGATCGTTCTTGTCAAGTCAGTGTACTGGTCGTACGACAAGTTACGTGTCTATTATTATGATTTAAAGGGAAACAGTATGCGATATGTTGACCTTGAAAACTGTTATACGGAGGATGGAAACCGTAAGGGATACGCTTCTACAATCTGGACTGGCCCGGATCATGTCGAGAACATTATGGGTTTGCATTAGAGGAGGTACATTTGAATTTTATAATATTTAGACCTATAAAAAAACTTTTTAAACCAACATTATTTTTAATATGAATTCTTTTTAGAGAAATTGTTAAAAATGCTCCTTTTTTAATACCTCTTTTCAAAAATGCTCTCTTTAAGAGTCTATTTTTAAGTTTGCCCTCTTTTAATTTTTAATGACCATTTTACCTTTATTTGAAACAAAATTAGGTCCACAAAATACAAAATATTTTTTGGCGGGAAAAGTGATCCCGCAATTTTCCCGCCAAAACACTTGTAAAAACCTTTAAGATACCTTGTAAAATTTTCCCGTAAAAATTTTTCCCGCCAAAAATTTTTTTTTGCGGGAAAAGTGATTCCGCAATTTTTTTGGCGGGAAAAATTTACAAGGTATTTTAAAGGTTTTTACAGGGTATTTATAAGGTTTTACAATGTATTTTAAAAGGTTTTACAACGTATTTATAAGGTATTTATAAGATATTATAAGATTTTACAAGCTATTTTATAAGGTTTTACAAGTTTTTTATAAGGTTTTACAAGTTATAAATACCTTATAAAACCTTATAAGTACCTTGTAAAACCTTATAAGTACCTTGTAAAAATTTTCCCGTAAAAATTTTTCCCGCCAAAAAATTTTTTTTGCTGGAAAAGTTATTCCGCAATTTTTTTGGCAAAATTTTTGGCGGAAAAAATTTACAAGGTATTTTAAAGGTTTTACAGAGTATTTACAAGTGTTTTGTAAAGTTTTACACTGTATTTTAAAAGATTTTACAAGGTACTTATAAAGTTTTATAAGGTATTTATAACTTGTAAAACCTTATAAAATACCTTGTAAAATCTTATAATATCTTATAAATTGTGGATGTCGGAATCCGCAATACAAGAAAATGTAAATTTGCATGGGTCTCTAGTCTCGGCAAGTTCGAGTATCGATTGATTAAGAGCAAAAAAGTTGAAAAAGTAATGTATATGATTCTCTCGAAAAAAATTCCTCTCCTTCCAACGATCTCTTCCTCTTCTCTTTATAGCCTCCCCTTCTCTTCGTAACATATGACCTCTCTTAATTCCGGCCATTAATTTGCCATAAATTGGAGAATTAATTCACCAATTAATTAAAACTTTATCACAAATCAATGCTAAGATTTGACTATTTGACTTTGTGAGCATTTAACCTCTTCATAAGCCCAATATGTGAAGTTGATGGGCCTTCGATAAAATAGACCGGGTCTGGTGTGCGAGATCCGACACCAACAGTTAGCCCCCCCAGTTCTTCGAGTAAACTGATTTGCTTGGAGAACTAAAATCATCGTAGTGGTGTAGTGAGATGAGATCTTTTGAGTGAAAGAAATAATTTTCTACTTAGAACTGAGATGAAGTCGCGACTTAGGTGCAAGATTAGATCTCGGCTTTAGATGCGAGATGGAATCTCGGCTTAGGTGCGAGATGAGATCTCGGCTTTAGGCGTGAGATTAGACCTCCGCTTGGGTGCAAGATTAGATCTCGGCTTTAGATATACAAGATCAGATCTTGGCTTAGATTCGAGACAAGATCTCGGTTTTAGATACGAGATGGGATCTCGGCTTTTAGATACGAGACAGGATCTCGGTTTTAGTGCAAGATGGGATCTTGACTTTGACATTTCTTTAACATAGTTAAGTCGTGCTCAGACTCAACAAACGAATACAATTTCTAAAGGCGAGCTTGCTTTTTACGATATGCGAGATGTAAACCTCGGTTTTGGGTGCCATGTGAGATTTTGGCATTAGGTGATCCGAACCAGCTGGTTTGAGCTCCATGTATTAAATTTTGGCAAACTGAATTCACTTCTCTGTGGAAAGTGAAATGAACACCTTTTCAGCGAGCTGAATTTGTTTCTCCGTGGAAAGTGAACTCAACACCATTTCAGGGAGCTTTTTAGCGAGCTGAATTCTTTTCTCCATGGGAAGTGAACTCAACGCCATTTCAGGGGTTGAAATCAATTTTTGTGAGGAGAGAACTCGACACTTGAATTTCAGCAAACTGAATTTACTTCTCTATGGAAAGTGAACTGAACACCATGGCAACGAGCTGAAATCGTTTCTCCGTGGGTAGTGAGCTCAACGCCATTTCAAGGAGCTGAAATCAATTTTTGCGAAGAGAGAACTTAAAACTTGAATTTCAGCGAACTGAATTCACTTCTCTATGGAAAGTGAATTGAACATTGTGACAGCGAGCTGAATTCGTTTCTCTGTGAGAAGTGAACTGAACGCCATTTCAGAGAGCTGAAATCAATTTTTGTTCAGAGAGAACTCAACACTTGAATTTAAGCAAACTGAATTCACCTCTCTATGAAAAGTGAACTGAACACCCTTCTAGCGAGCTGACTTCGTTTCTCTATGAGAAGTGAACTGAACACCATTTCAGAGAGCTGAAATCAAAAAGAGAACTCAACACTTGAATTTCAGCAAACTAAAATTCACTTCTCTGTGGAAAGTGAAATGGACAACGAGACAGCGAGCTGAATTCGTTCTCCTGTGAGAAGTGAACTAAACGCCATTTCGGAGAGCTGAAATCAATTTTTGTGAAGAGAGAACCCAACACTTGAATTTCAGCGAACTGAATTCACTTTTCTGCAGAAAGTGAACTGAACACCATGGCTGCGAACTGAATTCGTTTCTCCCAGGGAAGTGAACTCAACGCCTGTTGAGGCAGCTGAAATTAATTTGTGAAGAGAGAACTCAACACTTGAATTTCAACGAACTGAATTCACTTCACTGTGGAAAGTGAATTGAACAACTTGACAGCGAGCTGAATTCATTTCTCTATGAGAAGTGAACTGAATGTCATTTCAGAAAGCTGAAATCAATTTTTGTGAAGAGAGAACTCAACACTTGAATTTTAGCGAACTGAATTCACTTCACTGTGGAAAGTGAATTGAACAACTTGACAGCGAGCTGAATTCATTTCTCTATGAGAAGTGAACTGAATGCCATTTCAGAGAGCTGAAATCAATTTTTGTGAAGAGAGAACTCAACACTTGAATTTTAGCAAACTGAATTCACTTCTCCGTGCAAAGTGAACTGGACACCGAGATAGCGAGCTAACTTCGTTTCTCTATGAGAAGTGAACTGAACGCCATTTCAGAGAGCTGAAATCAATTTTTGTGAAGAGAGAACTCAACACTTGAATTTCAGCGAACTGAATTCACTTCTCAGCAGAAAGTGAACTAGATACCAAGACAGCGAGCTGGATTCGTTCCCTTGTGAGAAGTGAACTAAACGCCATTTCAGAGAGCTGAAATCAATTTTTTGTGAAGAGAGAACTCAACACTTGAATTTCAGCGAACTGAATTCACTTCTCCGTGCAAAGTGAACTGAACACCTTCCAGCAAGCTGAATGTATTTCTTCATGGGAAGTGAACTCAACGCCAATTCAGGGACCTGAAATCAATTTTTGTGAAGAGAGAACCCAATACTTGAATTTCAGCGAACTGAATTCACTTCTCTGCAGAAAGTGAACTGAACACCATGGCTGCGAACTGAATTCGTTTCTCCCTGGGAAGTGAACTCAACACCTGTTGAAGGAGCTGAAATAAATTTGTGAAGAGAGAACTCAACACTTGAATTTCAGCGAACTGTATTCACTTCACTGTGGAAAGTGAATTGAACACCTTGACAGCGAGCTAAATTCATTTCTCTATGAGAAGTGAACTGAACGCCATTTCAGAGAGCTGAAATCAATTTTTGTGAAGAGAGAACTCAACACTTGAATTTCAGCGAACTGAATTCACTTCTCAGCAGAAAGTGAACTAGATACCGAGACAGCGAGCTGGATTCGTTCCCTTGTGAGAAGTGAACTAAACGCCATTTCAGAGAGCTGAAATCAATTTTTTGTGAAGAGAGAACTCAACACTTGAATTTCAGCGAACTGAATTCACTTCTCCGTGCAAAGTGAACTGAACACCTTCCAGCAAGCTGAATGTATTTCTTCATGGGAAGTGAACTCAACGCCAATTCAGGGACCTGAAATCAATTTTTGTGAAGAGAGAACCCAACACTTGAATTTCAGAGAACTGAATTCACTTCTCTATAGAAAGTGAACTGAACACCATGGCTGCGAACTGAATTCGTTTCTCCCTGGGAAGTGAACTCAACACCTGTTGAAGGAGCTGAAATAAATTTGTGAAGAGAGAACTCAACACTTGAATTTCAGCGAACTGTATTCACTTCACTGTGGAAAGTGAATTGAACACCTTGACAGCGAGCTAAATTCATTTCTCTATGAGAAGTGAACTGAACGCCATTTCAGAGAGCTAAAATCAATTTTTGTGAAGAGAGAACTCAACACTTGAATTTCAGCGAACTGAATTCACTTCTCCGTGCAAAGTGAACTGGACACCGAGACAGCGAGCTGAATGTGTTTCTTCATGGGAAGTGAACTCAACATCATAGTCAGTGAGCTGAAATAAATTTGCGAAGAGAGAACTCAACACTTGAATTTCAGCGAACTGAATTCACTTCACTGTGGAAAGTGAATTGAACACCTTGACAGCGAGCTGAATTCATTTCTCTATGAGAAGTGAACTGAACGCCATTTCAGAGAGCTGAAATCAATTCTTGTGAAGAGAGAACTCAACACTTGAATTTCAGCGAACTGAATTCACTTCTCCGTGCAAAGTGAACTGAACACCTTGCAGCAAGCTGAATGTGTTTCTTCATGGGAAGTGAACTCAACGCCATAGTCAGGGAGCTGAAATAAATTTTACGAAGAGAGAACTCAACACTTGAATTTCAGCGAATCGTATTCACTTCTCTGTAGAAAGTGAACTGAACACCATGGCTGCGAACTGAATTCGTTTCTCCCAGGGAAGTGAACTCAACGCCAGTTGAGGGAGCTGAAATTAATTTGTGAAGAGAGAACTCAACACTTGAATTTCAGCGAACTGAATTCACTTCACTGTGGAAAGTGAATTGAACACCTTGACAGCGAGCTGAATTCATTTCTCTATGAGAAGTGAACTGAACGCCATTTCAGAGAGCTGAAATCAATTTTTGTGAAGAGAGAACTCAACACTTGA